GTGGTTCTTTGGTTGCTTGCTCCGTTGATCTGATTGCAGTGTCCTTTGAGGTCTTCTGTGCTTTAGTTGGTTGCATTACTTCTTTCGGAGTTAAACGTCGCAGTGTTTGTCGAGGTGGTGCTGGTAGTGGTGGATGTTGTCGTCCGGTTGGTGAAGTAGCCATAGGACTATCCGGTAGTGGTCGTGAACTTGACGTCGATGTTGACGGAAGTCGGGGAGGTGGTGTAGTGCGTTGTTGTTTTGTTGCGGGTTCCGCAACGATGTCGTCCGTAGCGTTCGTTTGTTGTCCGAAATCTTGCGTGGACCTTCTTTTCTCTGACGGTTGTAGTTGCGTATCCAACAGTGTTGCGAAGGATGGGTTGTAGGTGTTCCGTCGTGGTGCCCATGGTGTGCCGGAAACTTTGTTCAACAGTGCGAGGTCGTATTTGAAGTCCGGTTGTAGTCTCCGTACTGTTCGTACCTTTTGTACGCCTGATTCCGTTGCGACGTAGTTTTCTCCGGGTTCGGAAACTTTTCCGAGCCAGATGCATTTCTGCATCCGTAGGTCTGCTTTTGGAAGTTTCTTGTGTTGTGGTGGAAGGTAAAGTAGTGTCTCGCCAAATTCGCAGATTGCTCGCTCGTAGTTTCTTCCCCAGCGGCGTTCAAAGCTTGTGTAGCCGTCTGAGTGGATGACATAGCGATTTACCGTCCATGCTGCATGTCGTACTATCCAAGGTAGTAGACAGTGCTTTGTGGACATCGTCATGCTGTAGTTGCTTTCAACCTGAGCTTTGACGACGCGGATTTGTCCGAGAAGTGTTCTATGTAGTCGCTCAACGCTTCCTTGACTGTTGCTGCTGTAGGATGGTGAATGTCGTACAGTCATTGAGCCGACTTCAGATGCTGTTGCTTTTAGTAGTGCGTTGAGTGTGTCTTCCTTGTCGCTTTGTAGTATGCCGTGTGTTCTTCCGCATTCAAAGATGAATGCTTGTAGGTTGTTGATCATGTAGGCCATCATTGATGGTTTGTCCGGAAACAATACCGCCATGCACAGTTGTGTAGTAGCATCAACTGCTGTTAAGACTGGTATGGTCTTCGGATCTTGTTGTGAGTTGATGTAGGCAAAATCCACTTGGATGATGGGTTTTCGTGATTGTTGTTTCTTGTAGTTGTCCTGGCGTCCTTTGCCTTGAACGCAAATTGGACACCAATTTCTGTATGGTAGGTGTGTCAAGTTGTGTTCTGCTATTTGTTGTGGAGCGGGCTGCTGCGGTTGTCGTAGTCCTCTTGCTCTGTGTGCTTCATGATGCTCATGTTGTTGTTCCTCATCGTGGTTCTCCTGGATGTACTCGTAGTCTTTCTTGACGGTGAACCTTGTTGTTCCTTTCCATTGAAATGGTAGTGCTGCGTTGCCCATGACTGTCCAGTCCTCTTTGTGTTGCGAAACTTCTCCAAAGTGGTTGTGAGTGATTGTAGTTCTGTGAGGTTCAAGTGTGCTGATTGGTGGATATCCTGGTCCATCTGTTGGAGTGAACAGAGTTGTTCTAAGTGTTATGTGGTGTCTTATCCAGTATTCACCTTGTCTTTCCCAGTAGTCTTGGTTGTCCTCCTGTGCTGTGAGTGGTCTGTGGATTGTCTCCTTTGGTTGTGTGGTGTCAAGATTTGTAGAAGGTGCTGCTTTAGGTCTCCATGTCTTTTGTGGTGCTCGTAGTTGGATCTTTGATCTGGTTGGTGGTGTGTCCATTAGCCGTTGTGGTTGTGAGCTCTGCCTTGTTGGTGTGGTCTTTGATGTTGCTCTGCGCGTAGGTGTTATCTTTCTTCTGAATCTGGTTTCTCCAGTCCAGTTGTCACCTTCTAGTCTTCGTTGTAGTTCTTGCTTGGAAAGTTGTGTTGGGTTCTCTTGTAGTTGTTCTTGCTATTGCCCTTGTCTGTTGATGATGGTTAGTCGCCAATCATCTAGTTCTCCTTCAGGTATTGGGCAACCGCTTTTGTGTGGTGTGAATAATGCTTTGCGTGGTCGCTTGTGTACTCTGACGGCGTAGTCACCATCAAGTTTCCAGTAGTCAGTGTTTCCACCAAGGATCTGTCGCAGTCCTTGGTCTGTGTGGGTGAGTGGTGCAATTTGTTCTTGTTGTTGTACTGTTTTCTCCGTAGGTTGAATCACAGCAATGGATTTTCCATTGTCTGTAGTCATTGGGTAGATGCCGAATCCTGTAGGGATGTCGATCTTCTCTGCTCGTAGGTAGAAAAGTCCTGAGTGTCTTCTAAGGTGTGCTTGTTGTTGTCCATGTGTGATGGTGCAGTGTCGTGGAGTGAAGTCAAGTCCATATCCTCTATCAAGTAGTCTTGATGCACTGAGGATTGGATTTCACATCACAAACGTAGTAGGGTATCATGATCCTGAAGTTGTCCTGCTTGTAGGGAACGTACTTGATGCCGTAGACAGGAATCTTCTTGTTTGTAGCCGCGTAGAGTTGTGGAACCGATTCTCCACAAGGTCGTAGCGGTAGGTCTGGTGCGTAGTCCTTCGGGCAAACATGTGTAGATGCTCCTGAGTCGATCAACAGGTGGTGGTATGACTTGAAGTTGGAGTACATGATGTAGTGTGTGATAGTGTCCTCAATCTTCTTGTTCCTTTGTTGTTGTCTTGCTGCTGCTATGTCAAAGTGTGGCTGTGTGTTGTCTTCTTGTAGGAATTGTTGAAAGCTCTTGCTGTGGTCGTTCCATGATGTTGTGTGTGTGTTGTTCTCTTGCCAAGTAGTGATTTGGATTTGTGCTTGTGTAGTCGTGAGTTTGCTTGTCTGATGTGTCCAATGGTAAGGTGTGACTCGTTGATGCCTCCAATGTAGTTTGCTGTGTCCTCATAGCTGTTGTCATTCCAATCCCAGCTGTTGTCATAGTCGTAGTCGTTCCAGTTCTCCTCCATGTAGTTCACCTCGTGTTGTCCTTCTTCTCCTTCGTAGTACCAGTCCCAAGTGTCGTTCACATCCTGAGGTAGTTCTTCATTGTTGTCATGATCTGCTTGTTCTTGTTCTAGTGGATGTAGTTCTTCTCCTTCTCCTATGTGCCATACTGGCACTCTGCAGTCTTGTGCCCAGTGGCCAGGCTTGCCACATCGATGGCATGTTGTGTAGTTGTTGTTTCCTTTTCCTTTTGATTTGCTGTAGTTTCCTTGGCCTTTGTAGCCTTTGCTTGATCCATATCCTTTGGGTCCTGGTAGCCTTTTCCTTTGCTCTTCTTGTATCCTCCTTTGTTGTAGTTTCCTTTGCTGCCTTTGTCGAATCCTTTGTAGTGGCCTTTGCTTCTGTACTTGTCTTTTCCTTTGTTTCCTTTGTAGGATCCTTTGCCTCCATATTTGCTTTTGCCTTTGTAGTTTCTTCCTTTCCTCCAAATGTTGCCCACGTCCATGGGTGCTGTTCCACCATTGTAGTTTGTGCCACTGCTGAGCTCGCTCTTGAGAATGCAGATATGGTCTTGTAGTAGTCCAGGATGACAACTCTGATCTCGTTGTAGTTTGTGATCTGTCCAGCACGTAGTTGGAGATGTTGTTGAAGTGCTCCTTTGGTCTTGTTGAGTAGTATTGCAATCTTCACTCCATCTGGTAGTCCTGTGCCGTTGTCTTTCTCGTAGCGGTTGATGTCATACTCCCACTGTAGGAATTGTTCTTCAAATTGTGCTTCATTGAATGTAGGTTCCAGTAGTTTGGTGAGGTAGCCAACACTGCGTGTTCCTACTGGTAGGCTGAACCTGTTGTGCAAAAGCCGTAGTGTTTCACATCCATTGGCATTGTAGCGGTTTTTTCTGACCACTGTAGCTGCTGCACCTTGGCAGATGTTGATGAGGATGTAGTGTAGATCTCGTGAGAGGTCTACTGCTTTTGCTGCCTGTGTAGGGTCGCGTATGTGGGCTCTGATGTCTGCATCTTAAATTTGTCTTGTAGCTGCTTGTGCTAGTTGTAGTACCATGTCGAAGTCTCGGTCGATGAGTCCGAGGTATGCTTGTAGTTTGAACAGCCACTCTTCGTACTGTGAGTAGTCACCAGTGAAGAACGGTGGTGGCAGTTTGTATTTGTGTAGCCTTTGGACGTCTTCCTACTCCTGTGTTGTTCCCGTAGTTGTGGCTCCTATTGCCTCCTCTGCTGTGGGCCCGTTGTCTGCTCCCGTAGTTGGTTGTGCTGATGCTGCTGCTGGTTCTCCTGACATGTCGTAGTAGTTGGGCATGTGGTTGCCTGTGCAGTTGTAGTACTTACTGCTGTTACTGGAGCTCTCCTATGTTTAGGACCTCAGCTCCGCTACCACGTTAAAATACGTCGATACTTTACTACAAGTGGTGTTGTTTATGTTGTCACAAACACAAATGTAGTTAGCCAGAATGCACTCTTTTCCTGGTAGACTCAAGGCCTGCGGTCGGGTAGTGTACATCATGCATGCACAAGGGACAAGTAGTGCAGCATGATATTTGACATCTCTCTCTCTCTCAGTTTGGAGGGTATGTACTCCCCTTTTGGGGCTGGTTTAAAGGGAAACCGCAAGGAAAGCCACCGATTTGGGAGCCGCCTGTTTTGACACGATTTGAGTGGAAGGTTAAGGGACAGTCCCGCGGCCGCCCCGTGAATTCTTGGTACACTCCTTTTCATGACAGGTTCTGGACACTTTTCTGGAGAAGAGGCCCTTTTGGTGGAGACTTGTAGAGGTGGTAGACAACCCCTCTCTCCCTAAGCTGTTGGACCCGCTTCTTGCCAAAGATCAGTTTAGTGTTCGAACAAACGGATTGACTTTTGTGGCTAGTCCACTCAGGAAGTGAGACATTTCTTGACTGCTATTGGGTTGGATCTTTAGACTAACCTTTCGGGATATCAAGGTGTTTTTGTTCCACTAAACCCACAAACAGTTAAACTTTTTGCGGGGGGATCCACAGCAACCAAGTTGTGCAGACTTTCCTTCTTTTTTTTTTTAAGAACGGCCTTTTTTTATAAGGCGGGCCCTTTTTTCCGGAAGACCGAAGACCTGCGGTTTCAGTGCGGAGGCCGAGGGCTACCAGGCGGTGCTCGGTGAGAGCCTGGAGCACGGGGGGGTGCTGGACCACCGTGAGCCACTTGGAGGGTCGATGGCTCGTTTGGGGCGGGTTGTGAGACTTGTCGGCTCGGAGGTGCTGCGCAGGCGCAGTACGGGGTCTGTTTTGATAGACTCTGATAGATGGTTGTCAAGGACCCGCCCAAGAGGGACCCCAAAAAGGCACCCAAAACAATCTGTGTCGCCCCAATAAACCTTACTGGGGGGCCGCTATTGCGGGCCTTGACAACTGTCGGAAAGTAAGTCTTACGGTGCAAACTGTTTGTGTACGCAGGTACTTCTAGTTGGAAGACTAAGGAGGATGTGAACTCTAGAGGGGGCAACTTAGGCTGAAGCACACCAGTTGTCTTCCCCCCTTACCCCCTCAGGAACGGCTGGATGGTTCGGAATCTGGGGAACATCTTGCGCGATTGTAGACCAAAGCTTGTCAAAACCAAACATTGCAGGAAGGATGCAACAATCGGTGCTTTTCATGGAGCCAACAGCTGTTACTGACATTCAACCCCAAAAATCGTCAGATGTACATGAATTGGGTGTATCTGGGCCGGGTGTGTCTTTTGTTGGGGACCCCCCCCCCCAGAAAATGATAAGACTATGATTCAAAAACAACAACAGAAACAACCACAACAACAACAACAACAACAACAACAACAACAACAACAACAACAACAACAACAACAACAAAAACAACAACAACAACAACAACAACAACAACAACAACAACAACAACAACAACAACAACAACAACAACAACAACAACAACAACAACAACAACAACAACAACAACAACAACAACAACAACAACAACAACAACAACAACAACAACACAACAACAACAACAACAACAACAACAACAACAACAACAACAACAACAACAACAACAACAACAACAACAACAACAACAACAACAACAACAACAACAACAACAACAACAACAACAACAACAACAACAACAACAACAACAACACCAACACCAACACCAACACCAACAACAACAACAACAACAACAACAACAACAACAACAACAACAACAACCAACAACAACAACAACCAACAACCAACCCAACAACCAACAACCAACAACCAACAACCAACAACAACAACCAACAACCAACAACCAACAACAACAACCAACAACAACAACAACAACCAACAACCAACAACAAACAACCAACCACCAACAACCAAACAACCAACAACCAACCAAACCAAACCAAACAACCAACAAACAGCCAACAACCAACAACCAACAACCAACAACCAACAACCAACAACCAACAACAAACAACAACAACAAACAACAACGACAAGCAACAACAACCATCACAACAACCACGACAACCACGACAACCACGACAACCACGACAACCACGACAACCACGACACGACAACACGACAACCAACACGACAACGACAACAACAACAACAACAACAACAACAACGACAACCACGACAACCACGACAAACGACAACCACGACAACCACGACAACGACAACAACAACAACAACAACAACAACAACAACAACAACAACAACAACAACAACAGCAACAGCAACAGCAACAGCAACAGCAACAACAACAGCAGCAGCAGCAGCAACAACAGCAACAGCAACAGCAACAGCAACAACAGCAACAGCAACAGCAACAGCAACAGCAACAGCAACAGCAGCAACAGCACCAGCACCAGCACCAGCAGCAGCAACAGCAACAGCAACATCAACAGCAACAACAGCCACAACAGCCACAAGCACAACCACAAGCACAACCACAACCACAACAACAACAACAGCAGCATCAGCAGCAGCAATTGCAACAACAACACGGGATTTGGTTTTCCTGTATGATTCGTTCGCATGTTGTCGGCTGGTTTGGCTAGGGACCTGAGGGTCCCCTTCGGTCGCTCTTTTTAAAGTGTTGGGTCTTGCCGTTCAACTTGATCTTCGGGAACCCCCTCTTCGTGATCGTGCATGTTGATCACAACATGCATGCAGTTTGTTTTGAACTATTCATGTTCAACAAGAATGTGCATGAGCTTGCGTGAGGTGCTTGTTCATGCCGGGAGCCATTTTGGCAGTGATTGGCAGGATCCTGCCCAGGCTTTGTAGATCAGAAGTTCTCCCACCCGCTTCGCGATGGTCTGGGGCGAGACCGTCCGCACATCGACATTGGATCCGGCTTGCCAAGCAGCATCTGCGTGTGCGATCTTCGTGAAGGCGGTTTTGTTGCATTGGTATGTTCCTCCAGAACTACCGCCGGCCTTTGCTCGGCCGGCTGTCCAAGTCTGTGCCATATGAGAAGTAAGCGACGGACTCGATCAGGTCTGCGTGGGGCTTAGCTCTCGGTCTAGAAACAAGACCAGGAGCTTTGGTGATCAAACGCATGATGCTCTCCGATCGCATGCTTGATGGATCTGTCACACTCAGTTCATGTGTATTTGATGCGATCAGCGTGCGGATTGGGCTGAGAGTTTGTGATTAAAATTCAATTTTCCTTCTGGCTTGATTGTTTGCCGCATATATGGGACTTTGAGAGAGTGGCCTGACTGGATGGGTGGATTGGGAGGTGGCTAAAGGTCGGGGCGCGTAAGCTGAGGTATGTGGTCTACCGCAGCGCCCAGGTCCTGCCAAGGTACCTCCTATGGTATCGCCATGAGGCACGTTCATGTCGAGCTGGCGCCTTGATGTAGATTGACGAGGTTGTGAGAAGGGCTGTGGTTGACATCCCTCAGTTGAAAGGGGGAATACTTCCCCTGCAAATGTAGATAGAAACCGCAACTACAGGAAAGTGTGTTCAAACTGCCAGCATGCTAATCAGCGCTACGCCGAGGCCCTGCGTTCTTGTTGTTCTTGTTTTTTGGACTTGGAATTTGTCCAAAGGACGGTTCTGAGGGTGTGTTTTTTGGGTGGAAACTTGGAAAGGCGGAGGGAGTTTTTTGATGGAAACTTGCGGAACACACCTGGTTGTTGGGAGCCTGAAGTGGGCAGCTACCACCTCTGGAATGCACAAGCCATTGGCCCACGTTGTCCACTTCTCCAACCACGCCGAAAGAAGCCAGAGTTATAGTTGGAGTCCTCACAGACCTGTTATTGTCTCACGGCGAAAAGACCAGGGCCCTGTGTTCAACAGCAGCTACCTTCTGTCTGCGCAACAGAACACAATCTGCACAAACTCCAAGTTTCCCCCCTCCCCCCTTCCCAAGAAGAACAGGAAAAACAACACACACAAAATCACGCTCCTGCGTTTGGCGCAGGACTGCCCCTGCTTCCGCTGCCGCGCGGCCTTTAAGCTGCCGACGTTGCCCCCACTGCGCCTGCCGATGCCACACGCCTCACGGGACGTGAGCCCCCAGGCAAGCCCAAGGAGGAAGCCTCGGCAAAAAATCGGCAGCATGTCTTGTTTGCTGGGCTCTTTGTTGGGGGTCCGGTGTTTTTTTGATCATGTCCTAGGTTGTTTTTGTACAGTTAGTTGGTTAGAGTTGATTTTTGGGGTTGATTTAGGGCTGATATCCAGGTGCCGTTGGGCGGGTGGCTTTGGGGTAGCTTGCAGCTGATTTGTGTTGGGTGTACTGCTGGCCTTTAGGGTTGCTTTAGGAATGTTGTTGCGTGGGTTGTGGGCGAGTTTTGGTGGTTTGGGGCAACGCTCCAAGCCAATCTTAAACGAGACCAAAACGCACGAAACCACATGCCAAAAGCAACTCTAAAGGAACTGCGAAACCAGCAGCACACCCAACACAAATCAGCCCCAAGCCAGCCCCAGATCCACCCTAAACCCGCTCAACAGCAGCCTGGAGGTCAGCCCTAAATAAACCCCAAACCACCACCTAAGCCAGCCAAAAACCCCCCTCACTTAAACCAGCCCCCAACACAACAACTCCCAACTGCCTCCCAATCAGAGCCAACAGGCCATCCGGGCCAAGCGAGGCTGGTGATGCTGGAGATGTTGCCAGCCCTGCGGAAAACCAGCCCTCTACCCTTTGTTGCGTTGGATTAAAAGCGAAATAACAGGCAAACCGGAAAAAACTAGGGGTTGTTTGAGGCTCGGTACTTGTTTTTCTTGTTCTTTTGCGAGGCTGTTTCGCCAATGGGTGCTCCCTAAGGGGTCTCATCGATCCAGAATATAACAGCTGTTTAAGCTAATTGCTAATGACTTGATAAATAGGTTGTAGCCATGTGTATTACTTGGTGGTTCCCAGCCATCCCTAAGCTTTTTCGTTCCCCAGTTGGTTTAGTACAAAACTTCCAGCAGGGGCCCGAAAACGGACAGCCCAAACAAGTGGCGCAACTGGCTTAATTACAGGTTTTCACAGGCTTTCCCAAGGTGGACGAAACAACTAGCAGTTTTCATTTCCAAGAAAAGAGAGCCCCTGGTTTAAGTCTGCCTGGGTCCGACCGTGAGCCCCTGGGTGCTTAAAATAAGCAAGCCCTTTTGGGCTCTTTGGTTGGGTCTTTGGACTTTAACTTTTTGGGAAGCAACGGATTTTCCACGGGACCCACAAGCAGTTAAGCGTTTTGAGGGGTCAACCGCAACCAAGAATAGCAACCAGCATATACTTTTGGGGTTGGACCAACATGGTCCTTGCAGTGTGGGGGTTGAGTGGGTTGCGCATGTGTTTGCTTTGCTTGCTCGCTTGCTGCTTCGGTTGCTCGCTTTGCTCACTTGGTTTGGGGCTGCTGCTTTGCTCCGCTGCGCTTTCTGCCCTGCTGGGCTCGTTCATTTGTTTATTAACTTGCAACCCTTTTGGTTCTTGTTTGTGTCAGCCTTGGGACTGGGGGGATTGGGTGGTCTCTTCTAATCCTTCCCGAAACTCTCTTTCAAGCTAATTCGCAATAACCAACGTATTCCTGGGGTTGGACAAACATGATCCTTGGAGTGTGGGCCCACATGTTTTTCAATTCTTGTTTGGCTGACCCGACATGGTCAACAGCAATCGGCTCAGGAGTCCAGCGTGCAGCCCGGCGCCCGAGGTCCCGCGGCCGAATCCCCCGCCGCCCCCGGCGCCGCCCCCGGCGCCCTCGCCGGTGTCGCGAAGCGTGCCGGCGAGCGCCCGGCGCATGTACAACTGGGCACCTCGCCAGGGGCAACCAGAATTTGAGTGTGGCGCGTCTTAACATAACTCACCAAAAGGGGGTCCCCCCCCAAAAGAAAAACAAAGAACACCCATATCCTGGTGACTTTGCATCGTGGTTTGCCAGAGTTTCCTACTACGGGGGTCACTGGACAGTGTAGGATAAGGTTTGTTCTGAATGGTGCGAGCCACGCTGGGGGCTTCCAATGCATTGTACCGATTCGGGTTGCATGTCCAGATTCGGCCATGGCTTTTGACTATTTGCCCTTCCTCAAACAATCTGCTGTGGCAGGTCGACGTCTCCGCCATCATCCCACCATCCTGTGTTGGACGCAACCAAATCGGGTTCTTGCTTGTGGGTTATAGTCAAGAGCACCACGGAGACCATTTGTCGGAGCCCCCATTGTAGGACACACACACACACACGGTCACTGGTCACTCTCGGTTTTCAGTAGGCTTCAACCTAGAGAGATCCCTACGAAACCACCAGTTGGAGCATTCCAACACACTCTTTGAGAACCGGCCCTACATCAACCCTGAACTAATCCTGAAACTCTCCCAAACCAACCCTACCAGACTCAAGGTGAGTTGATGAATTTTGATAGGGACCTGACGAGTGGTTGCTGGACACAAATCTCCGCGTCCACCACCTAAGAAACCCCGGAATGATGATTCCCCTGTTTAAAAAAAAAAAAATGGTTTCCCGTGGTTCGAAGTTTTGCGAAACGGATTTCGTGCACAGTATTGCCCGCTGTAAGGAGAGCTTTGCGGCCCAGCGTGCCTGCAGCCGGGAAGGTCCGCAGTCCGCCCGGCTGCGGACCTGGGCGGAGCGACAGACGAGGAGAAAAGCGGGGAAGGTGCGCCGAGCTGTGGCTGGACAACGTCCTGGTGGGATGGACATCCATCCCTTACTGGGCTAGGTCCCCCAGTAGTGCCCTTTTACCCTTTTTTGGGGGAGGGTTCCTCTACTAAAATAGACTACAGAAAAAAAGGTACCTTTATTCTAACCTCTCTACTAGAGGAGGCAGTGGGGTAAGCCACCTGCCAACTGGTGCAGGTTTTGGTCACGGTAGGTTGATTCCACTTCCATTCTTCCCAATCGTTCTGTTGAAGAAGCCGTCTCCCCCTGGTTTGCGGTGGTGGTTGTACGCAGGGTTGGGCATTCAACCCTGGTTTAAATGTGTCTAAACAACATCTTCTACCTTTTAAACACATGTTTAAACAGCTTTTGAACCTTCTCTTGCCTTTGAACATGCTTGCCTTTGACACGGTGCGACGCCATACTTTGTCCAGCGGTCACAATTCGGTGACTTGTTTGGCCTATTCACCTGGGCCGCCAACAGGAACAAAAGGACCAGCTTCCTTGGCAGAGTCAGGATTCTCCTTCGTGACTTCTCGGTGTATCTTTCCCATTCTGTCCAGGGATCGTTCTTTCTAGAAACTTCCGGAAGCCCAGGGAAAAGCGGCTGTTATTTTTTGAAAAGAACGATGATTGAAAAGAAATGGGGGAATCACCCCCTATAGACTCTGATTGGAGAAGATCATGTTTTGTTGACCTCTGGAATTTCAGTGTCTCATGTTAGGGGTTGATTCCATGTCCATCCGTTGTTTTCCCCAAAAAGCCACCCCGTTTTCTTGGACGTTCGGTCGGGAAACCCGAGGCGGAGCTGCTTGCGGCCCACACGCCAGAGGCACTGGATGTGTGGGGAGGGGATGGGGGTTTTGTGGCGAACCTGAGGCAGTCAGGTACTTACTCTCCCTGAATGCGACTGCCAAAAGGCGACTTCAAATCTTCCCGTCCTGGAAGCTTCGTAAGTTGCCTCCGTTCGTGAAGTTCGGAATTTGGACTTGGGGATGCGGACTCGTTTTTTCTAACCGACGGAAGGTGCCCCCTGGGCTCCGAACTCCCACAGAAGGTTTGTGCCGTGTCACGTTGTCGCTTGTGGCACTTCCTCAGCATATACGCTCCACCTATTGGTGTATACTCCAAACACCAAATAGTAAGCAGAATGAGAAGCATGAGGATTGGGTGACGGAGTCACTTGAGCCCAGGAATTCCCCATACGAGGAACTTCCAAGCCAAATCTCGTGCAGGGTGGTCTTTATTATCCTTGGGATTTCTCTATTTTCATTGGCAGAGGGTTTCTAATTGGTAGACTGAAATGGGCCCCAGCTGAGTGTTTCCAAGATGACGGCACTGCAGCTGTTTGCCTTGGACCAGCCTGAGCAAGGGATCAGATGTTAGAGACCGAAGAGCCCACGAAGGCCCAAATTGCCCAGGAGCAAGGCCAAAACAGGCGTACTTGCCGGCTTGTGGTTGGGGTGGGGCCCAATGATCTAAGAAAGTTGCAGGAAGTGATCTTTCGCTGCAGATGTTGTCAAACTTGAATACTTAGTGAGGAGTGAAGGTAATTAACGGCAATCTTTCCCGGCTGGTTTGATCGAAACGAGCAGTCCCTCGTCTTGTGGCCGTGGCAGACACGTGAGTCAAATTCACTAATTCTGTGTTGAGCAATCACAAGCCAAGCTCCAAGGGTTTTTCTCGGGATGGTGTTCTGTCTTGAAGGCTTGTCAACATGCATGGAGAGATTGCAAGTAGAAGCATGACATATGAGGGATCTTGTTCGATTATTTCACAACCCGAGATAGCAGAATGTGGGTTCCCATTTGCTTCGGACGATTCTATTTTGTTCCAGTAGTTCGCTGTGAATGTAATACTTTGGCTGGCGCCTGAAGCACAAATGAAATATATATATATATATTTATATATATATACATACAACTATGTCTGTACTGTAGCTGGTGCTTGAGACAATTGTTTCTGCGTCGGTGCGGGGGATGTGCGCCACTGACAGTTCAGCAATGAGTGACTAGTGGCTTACAGCACCCAATCGGAACCAGAGTTTTCTCGTGGCGGTGGTCGGCGCTCGCTGGAGTGACAGCGCGGCGATCGGCCGAAGTTTCAGGAGGCCGATGAAGCCGACGTCGACGTTACCATCAGTTTGTGACGAGACCAAGGCGCGGGTTGACTTCCCTCAGTTTCGGCAGAATGAGGTGACCTTACAACCAGATTTCAACAAGTGGGTTTACCGTGGCACACTTCAGTGGTCGAACGTATTCGACAAGCATGGGCTGCGGTGGAAAACATGTGAAAATACCCTCTCAAGAGCAGCTTCCTTCCAGTGTAATCGTGGAAGCGTTTCGCTTTCCTCAGGGGTCCCAATGAATTGTCGCTTTTTGGACCCTTTAAACATGGAAGCGGCCCGTTTCGAGGCGGCTTTCAGAATCCGAAACAACATCATGCAACACCTTGGTTTTAGCTACCCACTCTTCAACACACGGATTTTCCAACCTAAGACGCCTGAACATGAGCTTCTTGGACATCTCACCACAGCAGCGGCTCGTTTTGTGTTCAGCTGTCACGGCATCAAGACAAAGAACAACTTCAGGTCAACTGGTGCAGCATCTCTTGACATGTGCATACGTGCGGAACAATTTTGTTGTTGGTGTGTAGGTGTGTTGGTCCCCAGGGGGCAAATGGGTTTGTCTTGCAATAGGGGATCCCTAAATTGCTGGCTCTTCCAAAAGTTTGCCTCTGCAGACACCGGCCAACAAAGAGTGCCTTGCAAACATATACCCCAACTAATTAGCATGCATAAAATGTCACGGCCTCACAAAGGGATTTGGCTTGCGACCCATTGCATTGAAGTTTGTTGGGGGGCCTCCTTGTTTTTTTTTTTTTTCAGGTGAGTTGTTACCCCAGATTCCTCGCGCAGGCGACGCCGCGTTTGAAGCCCGGCGCTGAAAAAGTGCCGAGCATTGAGAGATCGAGAGTGTCCTCCCGCGTTGCTCGTGGGCCATGCGGGAGGAAGCAGGGCTGATGTAATAATAGTTTCACTTATGGCGATGTGCCCATGAACTCTGGCTTGCCCCCGAGCAACTTGGGACGCAAAGGAACCACGTGAGAGACCTTGTGGCCACCTTGGGTCAAGCAAGCACCTGCCAAGACGCCCTAAGGGACGTTTCCAGGTCGCCGGCACTTCGAGCCCGCTTCAGTTTGCCTAAGGTGCTAGGTCTTGCTTGTTGCTTTTACCGGTTTAGCGGCCGCGACTTGTTAAAGACAGGGTGTGGGGCTAGTCGAAGCCCAGATTGCGCTTCTGGCACAAGTGAGGGCGGCAGACTTGTTCCCTTTCAACCATGCATCTTGAAATCGAAAGGGGTCCCTGATGTTAGGAAACGCCCGAATGGCAAGTTGCCCTGTCGCGAGGGGAGGAAGGAGGATTCGGAATCTCAGTTGGAACCATCTCAAGAGGGAAATGATTGAGATTGATTGAGCAATTCTTCCGGCCTTGCTTGGAACATTTTTTGCTTCAAAAGTTGACGCTTGTCTGGGTGCTCAGCTGATTTCTGGCCACCACGCAGTACCTCGCTCCTTCCAGAAGCCCGGCTCAAGGACAGACAGGCCAACATGGAATCCCAAGATTCTCAGGCTCCACTATCTCAGCACAGGGAGAATTCCCCCTCAAAGTCCTTCAATCTCTTGGGTTGGGGAAAGCGGCATGTGTGGTTTAAGCTGAAGCGCCGCGTTTCTCGGGACAACTGGCAGCACCCCCCCTCCGCACTGAGCCTTGGAGATGGTTCTTGAGCCAACTCCACGCGCGCAGCATCTTTTAGCATCTTTTGGGGACCTCACAAAGTCAATGCCCAGCAACACATGGAGATGGATCAGCCGGATGTGGACGGCGAGTGCGCATCGAACAAGCGGAAACGTTTGAGGATACATTTTGCGTCATTTTGCACTTCACTGATTCACTGGCGAAAGGCGACACAAACGTCATTCGAACCCCTGTATCATGTTAATCGTGTATACCCAGTTCATGGCGAGCTCTCGGGCTAGTAGCCCGAGCTCACTAGTGTGCTTTGCTTGGGAATCGATGTTAGGGTTTGCATCGATTCCCAGATGGGTGTGGCTCAAACTTAAACAGGAGGGGTTACGCAGGTTTTGGTCCATGTTTCCACTTACCAAGGTTCCATTTTGGAATATTGGTTTTTGAGCCACAGCCAGATCTTTGCAGATGCATTCCCAGCTCTTTACCGGTCCCTTGGCTTCACCTTGGCGGTCCATGCTGTGCGCAAATGCGGCGCCGCGGGGCCGGCAGAGGCGATCCGGATTGTTTTTTCCCTTGGGAGGTGACATGCACGCTATGTACGTAGTGGACCAAATAGCCACATGGTTGTGGTTGTCAAAACCGTTTTGGGATCCCATTTTGGTTGGTAGGTGAATTCACCACCCATTTTAGAACCTATTTTACTGGTTGGATTGGGCTGTTCACTGGGGGTACGATTTGGGGTTTGACCCATCGCCACATGTCTCGATTGTCCAGCATGGCAAACCATATGGACGTGTGCATTGTCTGACTTGTCTAAGATCCACTCCTATGTACCATGGTCTTTTTTTTTGCCGGTACGGCTGAGTGCCTGTGTGACAAGGAGACCAATCTGAAGCTTGCCCCAGCGATTTGCGGGTGCCTAGTTTGCACTTGCAAGATTGAGACGACCAGTCTGCAGGGGGACGACCATGGGATCCTTGAAGGGATCTCTCGTCTTCTTAGGGTCTCTCGCCTTCTTAGGATGGCTCATGTTTTCCCAGACAGTGTTGTCTGGCAGCGGACCTCGAAATGCAACCTGGGGAACCTGGATCGAAGTTGTGTCTTGCTGATATTGCGCCCAGACTTGTGACATCTTCACTCTGGTGTTTGGGAGCGGCTGATCGAGTATGTGTGTTCTTCTTTACATGAAAACAGCGTATGCGGGGAAAGGAATGGAATGGCCGGCGTGGACATCGACATGACCTGGAGCTGAAATGGAATGATGAATGGATGAATGGATGAATGAATGGCTTATTGGGCGACTGGATGATTAGGATGGATGGATGGATCGATGGATCGACGGAGGGATGAATTGGCAGAAGAAGGGAAGGAGGGGAAGGGAAGGGAAGGGAAGGAAGGAAGGAGTTTTGCTCCCTCAAGGACGGGAGTCTCGGTTTTTGGGACTTTACAAACGCGAGATGTACGAAAGAGTTAAAAGCCTTTCGTTCAGAGCCCAGGGTTCGAGTAGAAGGCGTAGATCTGTGATTTGCAAGTCCTTTGTCGGCAACTGTCTACGCAGAGGGCTTCCTTGTTTCCCTGACCGGTCGCAGCTATTGGGGGTTCAAGACCGAGCCTTCTGTGACATGAATTTTGCTGCCGCACGGGTGTGCTGTTTTGGGGGAACCCGTTTCCCTTTTTGTTCGAATGGGGGAACGAAGGAAAACCTTCGAACACCACAAATTTTAGGGCTACCGGATTTTGAGACACACCCAGTCCAATTGTTGACCTGGCACGTGGACGAATGCCATGCCGGAACAGGAGACGGGTTCCGGGATGTTCATGTTGTGAGTTGGAGGTCGATGCCTCCACAGCTTCAAAGCCTCCGTTTGCTCAAGAATATTTTTTATTTTCCCCTGTTGGTTTTAAAGGGAATCTATCAATATTGTTTTTCCCGGGGGCGTAAGCAAATGGAAGAAAAGGTTTAACAGGGTGAGTCCACCAAAAAGGCTCACCGTGTAGGTCTCGAGCCAGAGGACGAGAGGCTGGGAACAGCCAAGTAGAGGTGGGTGGGGATGGTTGGGAATGATGAACACCAGCCGCAAACAAGCTTTGCTGTGTGCAACATCGCTTGTGACACAGTTGCTATAGTCTTCCCTCTTACGGAAGGGGGTGAATGTGCGCCCTGTGCGAGCCCAGTTGATTAACAAACCCCTGGTTGATTATCAAAGGGGGATGTCTCATTTTGGAGCACCCGGCAAATCCGGCAGCTTTCTGTTGATCCGCGATCCCTGTTCCATGTTGGAGCAGTCGCCTTGCTTCGCCGATTCGCGTAATGCGCAGAGCATGCAAACCAATGCAACGAATGCTGGTTCTGGTCAATATTCACAGCTTTGTTCAGACATGTTTGCAGTTAATACCGTCATGTCCTGGATTCGTAGCGCTAAATGGTCTACATGGAGTTAAGCTCTTATGCGCAAGGGTGCCCCCAGAGGATATTCTAGCGGAACATGGTAAGCTGTGTGGAGCTGGAATCCAGCATCCATGTTGGCACATTGTCATGAGGGTGTGTGTGTGTGTGTGTGTGTGTCAGCAAGGCGTTCTGCGTCCCGAACATGTTTAGCTTCATGTTGCTTTGGCTTCAACCTGACCTTCAGGGGCCCCGTTTCGTTTTGCCACATCGCCAGAACTTCTCCAGACATTCTGGCTTTGAATCGTCAAACTTCTGTCCAGTACTTTTCATGCAAGGTGGTCGTGCATTGTTGGATGAAAGCACACATGTCTGCGTGTTTGCGCTTCTATCCTCAGAGCTGTTCATGGTGAGTGTGGTCACCCAGGAGCAAAATGCGCAACTGGCGCAGCACCTAGCCTACTTGTCCGATCCAGCCGGCTCATTGCTCATCACTGTCAGGCGGTCAGGTCACCGAGAATTGAACACCGGAGCGATTGCTATTTGGCGAGGGTTCTACGTTTTGGACGCGCTGTCATTCGGCAAACGTTTGTCTCTTACTCGAGGATCCTTAACCTCGTTTGCGGAAGAACAACTTACCCAGAAGTATGCAGATTGCGGGTAGTTAGGGTTTGGGGCTGCATTGGCTTTCCAATCTCAACCGACGCTTGAACCTCTGTTTGTCCCCGCGTGACGGCTGGCGCTTGTGGAGCCAGTTGCAAGAGTGGACATTGCCAAGTTTGGGAGATCTATCGTTCCGCTGGCACCGCTGATTCTCAGGCAAGATACGAAGAGAAACGTTTCCCCATCAGTGGTGGTTGTTATTCCGCTTAAATTATTAAATGTGCATTGCCGTATCAAACCCTTGCTTTTGATATGTCAACATCTATACATGCTTGCTTGAGCGTCAGCTGAGTTTAAGCCGCAGCACTTCACATATCATACGAGCACCACTACCCTGGCTGGGCCCCGGTTCTGAGCGGAGGATGCCGTCAACATTACAAGTAACGGACAGGGACAAACCAGTGACTGCAATGTTGTGTGGCTGGCTCAAGCAAGTTCAATATGGCTATGGGTCAAAACCCCGTACCCCCAGTGAACATCCCCATCCCCACTAAAATAGACTAACATGGGTGGTGCACCTACCCCAAAATGGTACCATTGGTGTTGACCCACGGCCATATGATCAAAATTGCATTGTGGGTGGTTCAATAATCCCTGCAATGTGACATGCTTGTTTTTGGTGGGCTGGTTGAGGAACATTCTGTATTTCCCATGTGTTGCAGTTGGTTGACAAGAAAACATCTCGCACTTTAACATGCTTTCTGTGGAATGATTGAAGGACATCGGCACACCTCGTCATTTGAAATGTCGTGGGTTGATGAAGGAACATGAAGACCGAGAATCATACGTAGCTCCCCGTCTCTCCCTCTCCCTCTCCCTATTTCTCTTTCTCTTTCTTTGTCTCTTTCTCTTTTGTGTCTCTTTCTTTTTCTCTTGGTCCTTCTTTCCCATTCTTTTTCTCTTTCTCTTTCTCTCTCGCTGTCTCTATGCACACCTCGCAATCGCCCGGCATTCGTTTTCGCCAGGATCCCGGGCTTGCAGCAGGCGCCTTCTCAGTTGGTGTTGGCTTGGGGCTGGGTGTCTTTACGGACCCGACAAACCAATCCTGGAAAAGGCACCTAACACATTTTCACGATTGAACTAAATGAGCCTGATTGGGGAGGTGTTGTGGGGCTCCTGGTTTCTTGGAACATACACCAAGGATTATTGTTGCAATCGTTGCAAAGCATTGTCAGATATGATGTTGGAAAAAACCGCGTGGCACGAGCCATCAGCGTGCGGTTCGGAAGCCTTTTGGATCTCCGAAGACCCTCGTTTATGCAACCAGGGATCGCTCCAGGTAGCTCCTAAAAAGAGGAGTCCTAAAAAGCAACGACGTGTCAGGTTGTCATAAGCTTGTTGCCCCCGTTTCGGAACCCCAAAAGTTGACATGTTTTGTGCCGCTCAACGGGAGTCCCAGATTGGGCGTACTTTTTGGCCACTGCCCGCCTGCAATCTGCTGGAAAACGAGCTGTCGACTGAGTGCTGGCGCAATGGGAGGATGTCGCGACAGTAGACCACAAGGGACCCAAACCCAATGGACCTGGCAATCTCCTCTAAATTGAAGTTGACGAGGCGAGCAGTGCCCTTTCTCACCCCTTTTTTGGGGGAGGGTTCCCCTGCTCAAATAGACTACAGAAAAAAGGGTACCCTTATTCTAACCTGTCTACTGGAGGACCTAGTCTAAATTGAATTTGACAAGGGATGTCAACTTGTAGGATGTGACAAAAGCGATGCTGGATGCTTAAATATTTAATGATATTTGGGTACGGGTGCCATATTTGGGTCACCCCAAAACGGGCTCAAATCCAGGGATGGTTGATGTGCTCAAATGAGGAAAGTCCTGGTTAATTCCATTTGGGGAAGACCAACAAAACAGAACCCTGACCTAGGCCGTTTGTGTTGGGATTCATTTGCAGATGTATTTTTGTTGCACCCTGGAATACACGCTTGGGAAATGACGCGAAATGGTCCAAACCAGCCACGGTTGTTATTTGCAAACACATTTAGTTGACAAGGCCTTTTAGATCCTGTCAGCCTTGATACAATCGTGCGGACCATGAAGACGCACCACAGTGTCGGCGACAACGTGGCTTGTTCGACTGCAAGTCAGGGAAACGGACAGAAGATCGGTACCTCAACGAGTTTGAAAGGAAAAATCGCTGAAGTGGACAAACGCCTTACCCGACCGTGGCGATGAAGAGCAACGAGGTCTTCCCGGACCAAAGGCAAGGCGGCACGGCCTCTGCCTGGAGGCGATGCAGGGCATCTGGCTTGCGGCATGCTCAGCAGAGGTTTAGAGGATGAACCTGTCGATTACTTCGCCGATAAAGCATGCAGACAAGCTCGTCGCATGTTGCAGCAGATGCAGATTTACAACAACAGCACATGGTTGCTGAGCGCCACGGAGAAGAACAGCCTTACTGCCTGGCATTTGGTACATGGAACATGGCGAACGAATCTGGGACGCCCGTGTCGGTTTCGCTGCTGGAAGGGGAACCCGATCTTTTTTTGGGGGGGGTTTGCGACCAGGGACCGCCTCAAGGAAGGTTTCGGCACTGGATCGGTAAGAGTGCACATCTCCTAAAAATTTTCTTGGGCACTTGTATGGCCCCTGGAAGTGTGGTTGATTCGCGTGGAGGTACGTTAATCTTGTCCAAGAAGGCGGTGTCAAAAGGATGTGTCTTGTTTCCGGGATATCTTTTCTGGGAATAGTTTAAAGCGAGCCCAAGGGAAACCCCACCCACCCACTTCCTGAGTTCATGGTCCTTGGGCTTTTTCGGAAGACCATTTTAGTGGCACACAAAAAGTGTGGACTTCTTTTGGGCCATCCACCCAGGAAGTGAGCTCATTTGTTTGGGTCCTCCGATTTTGACGCATGTTTCTCCAGATTGGGGACCAATTCCTCCGGGTAGCTTGCTTTTGGTTCTGTGAAACCATCTAAGAAGAGGTCCCCTACTGTGGATGGACGAAATCCTGCGCCGCCTAAGAAACCCAAAGGACTGATTCGATTCCCTTGTAAAAATACAAATTCGTGGTTTCATTTCCTGGTGCGAAATGGATTTCGCAACCATCCACAGTATTTTGAGACACCCCCCACATACCCAAAAAGGTGAAACCCCCACAAGCTGGGGCCCCGAGGCTGCCTCGGACCCGGCGGATGGGATGTTTCCATTCCGAGCGCGTCTTGTCAGGTTCTGCACTTTGGCGCCGCAGCAGACAAACGCAGCTCGGCGTTTCAAGAAGGCACGCTTGATTGCTCCTATGTACAACATATACATGTGCAAATAATGTCCAATTTATGTATGTAGTATGTGTATATATTTGTGTATATATTATTATTATTATTATTATTATTATTATTATTATTATTATTATTATTATTATTATTATTATTATTATTATTATTATTAATATTAATATTAATATTATTATTATTATTATTATTATTATTATTATTATTAAGTTATTTATGTATATATGTTTGTGTGTGTGTGTTTGTTTAAAGGTTGCCCCTTTTGTTGCGGGGAGTTTAAAAGGAAACAACCCGCTTCGGGGCTTTCTTCAATTGGAGACACGCCCGCAGCCACAGATCATGATAATTAAATGAAAGAGCGGCATTTGAGGAATCAACCGCGGGCGGCTCGGTTGGCCCCAGAGTTTACCGATTCCCAGTCATCCAGTGGGGTTTTGTCTACCCTTTCTTGTGCCTCTTTTTGGTGGGTGGGGTTTCCGTAACACTGAGCCAGTGCAAGCGTTAGCGAACAGCTTGCAGACACGATTGCGCCAAATGTAAGATTGGTGTTCAATGCTGAGCTGAGCTTTGCCGATCTCGCAGGGGGTTGGACATGGACCCCCGTGCCCAGCGTATGTTCTCTAAGCCAGTCAGAACGAGCTCACCCATGGTCAAGGTCCCCGACAAGGGGGTCACCTAGTTCCAGGTTCTGAACTACACCTAGGTTCTCAGAATGAGTACCTGGGCAAATATCTGCCCTCACATTGTAAAATTCCGGTTGGAAGTCGTTTTATTCGGATATGGAAAGACCGGTTGGTTGGAAGCTCCTTCACCTTGACAGATTCGGAATTTGCGATTTGCGCAGATGAGTATGGGTCAAATTAAGCTAGAACACCGGGTTTGAGTCTTTTCCATTTAGCACGGCAACCGGGCAACCCATTGTGGGGCTACCATGGGTTGCCCTATTTTCACCCGCCCCAGCACCCCGGAAGCCGAGGCAGCACCAGCCACGGCCCCCCGCCGCCGCTGGCGCACCTCGGCCGCGTCTACGAAAGGTCCGAAAAGGGCCGAGCGACTTTGGACCAACCCCCCAAAATCCGGCAAACGCATGATCTTGGTGTTCAACTCTGGCAGGGCCCCCCCCGTTTTTCTTTACAATTTGGTGGTTCAACTATAGCCCCCCTATAAAACCACCACACAAAAAGGGACGGCCTCCAGAAAACAAACAACTCTTGAATTTCGGGGGTGGTACTTGGTACTCGCCCAAGGTAGTAAGTTGTTAGTAAGCCAAGGGAGAACCCGCTTGCAAGTTCCCTCTCTATGGTTGGCCTTATCATTAGTCGGTTGTAAAACCACTCTTGGCCGAACACCCAAGTACCGAGCCGCCAAAATCAAACTTTGGGACCTCGATGTCGCGTGCGGGACCCAAAGCTCGCTTTGAGGTCTGCCATTTGTGCCTTTCTTGGGCCTGGAGCTCAGGAGGACAGTAAGTTGTTTTTCCCCCGCCTGATGTACTCAACAAGTCACGCAACCCTTAGTTGGAGGTTTGGATTGGTGGTATCAAACCACAAAACCAGTTCCAGGGAAGCTGAACAAGAGAACAAGAGACAGCCGGGAGTGTTTAACTTTACGTGGAGGTGTCTTTTCGTGGAGTCGGTATCCGTTTTGGAGTTGGACTAAAACGAACAGCGTGCACCACGCATGTAGGGGGATAGGGAACCATGGCTCATTCACAAGGGTTGACATATCTTCGGTTCAGCTTGCCTTGCTGTTTGGTGCTGCAAGCAAGCCTCTAACGCTAAGGCGAGTTCTTGTGTTGGCTCACCATTTGGCCTTTTTAGGTTGGTTCACCTTCATGAGTATTCAGGTAAGGAGAGTGTTCATACTAACATACAGTACATCAGACCGAGAACATTCAGGAGAGTTGTGATGATGCTGAATCTTGGATCAGCGCCTGCATGAAACGGGCTTTTATTCTTACAGCGCTAAGGCTGCTCAGGTTTGTTTGTGGAAGATTGTGCGTTGATCAGGCGATAGTATGAGAATAGTAGTACACTTATGTATATATATATATATATGTGCGTGTGTGTGTGAAGACTATGGATCCTTGCTTTGGCAATTCTGAAAGAAAATCTGGAACCCAGCCATTTGAAACAGTTGCCCAATGGTCATGTTTGACATTGGCTTGGGAGTCCTTCCCGGACGTTTGTTTACCGAGCCAGGGACCCTTCTTAGTTTTTGAACAGAAACCAACGGCGAAACCATCCTGTTGGACCGTTCCTTTGAAAGGTGCAAAGGGTAACCAACAGGATCCCCCCTCCTGAAAAGAAACGCATATTCCCTCGGTGTCCCAATCTCCCAAAACCACAAAAAATCCGAGGTTTCCCCATTCCATCAGGTTTCCATCCGCCCAAAAATACAATAAAAAACCCTTGGTACACAGGAAAAGGCCAAGTCATTCTCTTAAGCTAAAGCCAGATCGGCAATCACCAAAATCGGCAAATAACAAAAAGCCAATTCATTCCCCAGGTGTTCCCCAGGTTTTCCCCAGATTTTGCCAGGTTTCCCTGGGTTTCCCTTAGTTTTCCCTCCTCTCCAAAAATAAAATCCCTTGGTTTTTGCCGGTTTCCCCGATTTTCCCTTGGCTCGACATCTCCGCCATTCTCGGACCCCGCAGACTTCCCCCCAGCGAAACTCGACTCGTTCCGCCGGGGGAGGGCCTGTGCCGCCGCGCGCCTGGGGCGCTGCGCGGTGGGCTTCGGGCGCTTCACGCCGACAGGCAACTCGGGGGTTGGGGGTTGTGGGTTGGGGGTTGGGTTGGGGGTTGGTTGGCTTGGGGTGGCTTGGGGTGGCTTGGGGTGGCTTGGTGTTGGCTTGGGGTGGCTTGGGGTGGCTTGGGGTGGCTTGGTGTTGGCTTGGGGTGGCTTGGTGTTGGCTTGGGGTGGCTTGGGGGTGGTTGGGAGTGGTGTGGGGTGTGGTTTGGTATGGTTCAAGGTGGTTGTTTTTATTTGTTTCATTTGTCCAGGACCCTAGTTCCAAAGAAAATGTCAAGCTGGCCATCCTGGAAAAGGGGGTAATGTCCAATCTGTTCTTGCCATGAAGTCTGGGATCGGAAGATTTCACTTTGAGACCCGCAGAGGATGCAATCAGTTTGTTTCGGGGGTCTTGCTGCACATCGTTGTTGTTGTTTTGCTTTGCAAAAGAAATGCTTCAGGGCCCCAAACAACATAAAAGGGTCGCCCTCAAATGAAGAAAGCCCCGCATGGCCTGTTCAAAAGCAAGGGCATAGGATGGCTTGAGTTAGCGACGCAGTTGAGAGAAGCCAAAGGGACAACACCAATGTTGGGGTTCCCCAATACGCTGACGACTCAACGATTCTTGTACGATTCGGGGCTGAACCGGGAACCCAGTGTTGGTCCAACTTCCGAAGAGAACCAACATTGAGACTCATTTGGAGGCCAAGTTGATAGCTTTTGGTTGCAATATATCCAGGGTTCACTGAAGCTCAAAGCGCTTGGAGGTTGCTGGGCCATGTGAGTTTGCCCAACTCGGACCTTAGAGGGTGATGGTGCGATGTGGAGAGACTTGGCGTCCCTCGATGTCAGACTCGGAGATGATGTGGAAACTTGTTTCTCTAACAACTTGGAGAATCCTTCTGAGCTGGCAGCCCTGCTGAGCCCGGAGCGGATGCACGAAGGAACCCCCCATTTGGCAACCGTTCCTTCCATCAGGAAACCAAAGGGAATTGATACCCGTTTGTTTTTGGACAAAAAGAAACAAACACTGAACCACCCATTGTGCTTTTTTTGTTAATGAAATATATGTTAAAGCCGTTCGTAGCGGGAACCTCTTTTTGTTTTACACCCGGGGGGAACCCCTTTTTGTTTCATACCGATTTCTTTCTTTCTTTTTGAACTGAAAACCCGTGTACCGGGGGTTTCCCCTTCTAGCCGCCAGCCGCCAGCCAGGCCTGCAGGGGCCAGAGCTCCGGACCTGGGCAGGGGAGCATTGGCCGGGGGCCTTGAGCCGAGGACACGCCGAGGTTTTGGTCTGTTTGGGACTGGATCTGTTTTGGTCTGATGTTTGGTCGGTTTTCGGGTTTTGTTGCTTGGTGAGCTGGGCGGTTTTTTAGCCACCCGTTTCAACTGTGCTCTTGTGTTCTTTTTGTTTTGGATCAAAGTTTAGTTGGTTTGGTGACATTTGGTGGGTTTTCGAATTTGATGTTTGGTTGGTTTTCGGGTTTTGTGATCTTTTGTTTTTTCAGCCATCCGGTTCAGTTCCTTAGTTTTTTAGATCCTTTTAGTTGGTTTAGTCCAGTAGTTTCCAGTTAACACACTAGAAGTGTCGACTTTTAGCTGAGGATCTGAGGACAGCCCAACAATGGTTGCGAAATCCGCTTCTCGCACCCTTGAGAAAGGTTTCTGATTTGACTTTGTTGTACATACCAAGAAACTATGCATTCAACCATGGTTTGAAAGTGGTGCAGGATTTTGTCCAACAACAAGTTTTTTCAGTAAGGGGAATGTGTTTAAATTGATCAGATTTTCTTATTGAGGGTCCCGCCAAAAAGAATGTCGGTAATCCTTTGGAAAACGAGCAAAGCGGGCTCCCCCAGAAAAGACAGACTCAGGTGTTGGAAAACACGTTGCAGCAAGTCAGTTCCAGCCCCCTTTGCTACTCTTGCTGTAAATCCAATTCCGAAAGATCCCCAGAAAGGAAAAGTTATTCTGCAGAGCCACCGGCAAGCCGATCAAGGAAGCTACTAAGCTACTACCTGGCTGAGCTTGATCATCCTTCCGATGTCTCTGATGGAACCGTTGAAAGACGCAGGCTGTCAGGGCTCCGCCAAAAGGGCCTCATCATGGTTGGCATCCGGGTTTTCCCCAGGCCAGTCATCCCTGTTTGGAAGTTTGAAAGTTCCTCTGTCAGCCTCCGGGGGTTGCCTATGTTGCCTGGTGACACAGCGAAGGCTTGCCCCCCTGCAAATACCCACCAAGCCCATGGTTTCCTACTCGTGTTACTTGTGCTTCTTAATCCATTTCGTGGTTTCTTGTGCGGATTTCGCACGCATCCACTGGAAGTCTATTGCCACCATTGCATCGTTGAACATGTCTGGCGCCATGTTGCCATCTGGCCCGATGAAGTCCCATCCAGGCCGGCCGCTTCCGTGGACCTGCCGGGCACCGGCGAGGCGTGGAAATTGCGGCGTCTGGCACCTGGGGGTTCGTTGCCCTGCCTGGCGCTTGCTTTGTAATGTGTTCTCTCTTGCTGTGTTTTTTGTGCTTCGTTTGGTTTGTGTGTGTTGTAATTGTTTGGTTTTGCTTCGTGTTGCGTTGCTTGATTTGTTTTGTGTTGTTGTGTGTTGTTTTGTGTGGTGTGTTTGTTTCGTGCTTTTTTCTTTGTACGTTTGTTCTTCTGTTTGTATTGTTGGTTGGTTGGTTGGGTTGGGTTGGGTTGGGTTTGTTGTGTTTGGCTGGGGTGGGAGGTCTTGTCAAGTTCTGCATTTTTTGGCATTCCTGCGAAAGTCAGTGTTTGTCTTTTCTGAGGGGTAGGGCAGCCAGAGAAGGGGGGATGGGCGGGGTACTCAGCGCCTTAGGTGCCCTGTGCCCTATGTTGCACAGTGCTATCCGTTGGAGGTCGTCATGGAAACTGGGAAAAGAGTCCCCCTCAAGAACAACGGCCTGTGCTGAGTTCCGTCTCAATCTGATGCACAGTTGCGACCATAGCAAGGCGAAAGGCGTGTTTGTGCAAGGGGGTCGCCCCCCAAAACCGTTCTTTAGATGTTGATGCCAGGGACAGCGAGGCCGCGAATGAAACCAAATGCAGCCAGGTAAGACTTTTTGGGCGCTGCTCAGGTGGACATGATTCGTAATGATTGGAAAACCCTCAAGAGTAGTTGGCGGTTGAAAGCTTCCCCATGTGCTTTAAATGTCCGCCAAATGCCAAAGGGCCCACCAAAAGGGTAATTCAAACTGGGCAGCCCCACATGACGGACACGACAGTGCTGGACGACGTGTCATCGCCGTGGAAGCAACGGCAGACCCTGCTGTTTCCAGATAGTCGCTGTTCGGACAGAGGACAGCTGGGCCGAAGTAACCCGGTGTGCCTTCTTGCTGCTGAAGTGTGTCAAGGAAATCGAGCTCCACGCCGTGAAAGCTGCCAAAGAACAGCTGCAAGTACCACCCTACCTGGCGCAGGCTACACTCGCGGTACATGACAAGAGGCCTTGGGGATCTCTACGGTGAACGTTGTGGAGGGCTCTCGAACTTGATGCTGGCGGGAAGCCCCCTAGATAATTATCACCGCACATTTAAGGTAAGGATGTCACTTTGGACCTGGTCAAACATGCGCCACGGTACCACGTCAATATGGGCAATTCATGAGGGGCTCTGTGGGTAAGAGGTTTGCCTCAAAAATTGGGAACCCAACAAATGGGTGTGTTTCCTTTTGGTTTCCCTTTAAAATCCCATCCAACAAGGGCAGCCCCTAAGAAACGACACATCGAATGTCCCATGAGTCCCCTTGCCTCTTTTTGCAGCACCCCAGTACGCGAAGACCTGGCAGGCGGCAGCGCGCCTGGCGGCACTGGTTGCGCCGGGCGCTCCACCGGCCGCGGGTTGAACGAGATGGTGGCGTCGGTGCCGGCGAGTGAATCCGTTCCCCCAAGAACGGCGAGTTATATGCACAGAACGTACATAGATATCATTCCCAAACCAGGCCTCTGCCAATTTGCTTTGCGCTCACTTGAAGGCTTGGTTAGGAAGCTCCGCCCTGTAGGTGCAATGTGCCAATCTGTAGATGATGTTTTCTTATGATTGTTCGAAGGGGAATCCAAGCAGATCAGATTGCAAGTATCAATTCGACCCGCACATAACCAGACAGTGTCTGTGCAGAACAGGCAAGAAAACTTAAAATTGTATCAGTACGTATGAAGAGACCAAACAAACGCGCAGATTGGTTTTTGAGGAAATGAGTCACAGTTCACTTTTCAATCACTGCGCTAGCGCACTGGCCAGAAACACATCGAAACGATTGCAGGTGCGGTCGGGGAAAAAAATGGACCCAGTATGGATGCCAGACTTATTGATGGCCTGAACCCGACATATGCCTAACATGCAGAGGACAAAGCTTGTCTATCGACCTTCCAACGAAACTATTGCGGCAGGCGAATCCCAAGGTCCCAAGTTGACCGACCGTATCGGACGTACGTCTCGTGTAGGATTACAGAGGGACAGGGCTGCAATCTGTTTTGAAGTTCAAGAAGCGCAAGATGTCAAATAGGGTGCCCTCCCCCAAAAAAATGCCAAACAGGGGTAACCTGAAAAAGGCACACCACTGTGTATATATATATATATTATGTATATATATACACACATACAAGCTGAATCTTGAAACCCCGAAGAATCACCATTGAACCACACAGCGTCATAAGCCACCGAGCTTCAAACTTGTTTTTGCTGTGCATTCAGGGAAGGCAGACTCAACTCCGAGCCAACATGAAGGTTTTCCCTGTTGCTTTCTTAGTGGTGCAGCGGCACCCACACGAAGGCCTTCTGCCGACGCGAGCCTGGTGCTGGATGTGGTGCGGCGCTTGACGGCTTTCCGTGTCGCTGGGCCCATTTTGGCAATTTCCAGGATCTGTCAAAGTCAGAAACTCTAAAACTGCTGTGGATGGTTGCGAAATCCGTTCGCAGCGCTGTGCAACTATGGTTGAAACCATTGTTTGTATTCAGAGGGGAATCGGCTCATTCCAGGGTTTCGTAGGTGGTTCAGGATTTCGTCCATCCACAGTAGGAGTTCGCCTCAGCCTACCTGAGGACTGAAGTCAGGGACGGATGGCCAGAACCCAGCGACTCATGTCTTTCCAGCGGTTGACCAGATGAACTCAGTGTACCCAAAGGTTGCGGGATCCCTCTGATCAACAGGCGGGGGGGTGTGGATTATACTGAAAGACCCGACTTGCATTGTCAGGGAGAGGCCTGAGGATCCGTTTCATTTTTTCAATGTTCAAACACCTTAACTGTAGAGCTCTTTGTTTTCGTCGTGGTTTAGTTGTGGCTTGAGCCAACGCAACTGTGAAAAGCATTCAGAGCTACAGACCAGACGTAGTGCGGCTGTCCGCAGACTCTTGGATTCCTTGGCAAGGCCCTATTTCGACACTTATGAAGGAGATACCTATAATATTTCACCATACCCCAAATTGGGGGTTTGGCTTGGCGGTTTGCACGATGGTTGCCTTTCCTTTTTGCTTCCAAAGGAACTGGGTTGGCCTTAGAATATTAAGCCCTTGTGGGTTGGACATGTCCTCGCGCCTGCATGTCCACTCTAGATCCAGGACGATTTTCTTGGGTTCTGTTCGGTTTTCAAGTTGGCCGGAGATTTGGCTTGTACCTTTGGGGGTTCGAGGAATTCAAGTTCTGCCTCCTTTCGTTCTGTCTGAAAACAAAGCTTAGGTCAAGGGGTCGAGTCAATTGCAACCTTCTTCTGCTGAAACTGCGTCAAGAGACTCAAATAGCTTAATCATATGACGTGATTTTGGGGGATATTGGGCTAAAGCGTTAACCGCAGGTGGTCGCTTGTCTTGACTCTTAATAAGTATCCACTTGGGCCACCATTTTGGCTCAAGTGGACTTCTTGACCTTCTGTCTCGTAATCTGAAATCTTTCTTTCCCCTCCTATCAAAGCCATGTACGCCCCCGCCTACGCTGGTGCCGCGGTTGCAGAGGCCAAGGCTAAGGCAAAGGCCTCCATGGCAAAGTACCTGGCGAGCCTCGTGAAGAGGGAGGAAGAAGGATGGACCGTCTTGGCTGCTGAGGTCCCTCAGGCACCTGACGAGCGGTTCTTCTCCAGCGCAGATGAGCTGGAGCAGGCCCCCCTTATCCCAGCCAAGCGCAAGGCAGAGGATGAGCCGATGGAGGATGCAGCCCCTGGGGTGGCGCAGGTGCCGAAGGCCCTGACACGCCCCCCAGGAGCGTTCCTGGAGCTCCTGAACCCGCCGGAGGAGGATGTGCCCATGGAGGAGCTCCTGGCGAAGGACGAGGAGGAGCTCCCGATGTCCGACACCAAGTGGCAGAGACGCCGTGAGCTGATGGCGAAGGTCAGGGAGCAGGCGTCCTCGGAGGAGGATGAGAACCCCGCAGCCCCCCCGCGGGGGGGAAGCGTCTTCACCAAGGCCCTCAAAGTCTCTGAGGGACCAGATGGCGGGCGACTTCCCGTGTTTCGATGCGACCACGGCCACTAGGCTCCGCCGACTGCAGGCCAAGGACGTCCAGCGGCTCCTGAGAGGCTTTGAGGGCCCCCAACTCAAGCAGGGGGGCCTGGAGCGTGTGGTGGAGGCTTTCTACATCGCCAAGATGAAGTATGAGCATGAGGCCCGGCTCAGCACCCCGGGACAGCAGGTTGGCAAGCGCGCTGGCCTGGGGTATGGGGGCCTGGAGAACCCCCCTGGGTAAGGAGCCCACATCCTGGATCTGCCCCTGCTGCACCATGCCCTGGGTGAAGAAGGGCGCCAGGAAGTGCATGGGGTGCGGCAAGAAGACGGAGCCCATTGACACGGCGACCAACTTGGCCACCCTGGAAATGGCGGGCACGCATTGGCAGCTGACAGTGGATGACCAGGGCAATGCGGTCTGGACGGCGGCCCGGTCCGCAGGTGCCGAAGGCCCTGATACGGACCGGGCCCGCGACCTCAAGCTCAGCGCCTCGGTGGACGTCAGCGAGCTGGCCACCGACCCGATGGCATGCGAGAACCCGGACCAGGCCAGCTTCTCGGACTTTGTCCCCTCCTCGGTCCGGGCGGTGATCAGGAACTGCCCCATGGAGCTGGACGAGGATTTCCTGACGGCCCCAATGGGGGAGAGGCCTCCATTGCCGGGTGACAAGGAAGAGGGCCAGGAATGCAGGGCCTTCCACCCGTCGGCGGTGAAGGCTTTCAAAATCCAGACCCGGCTCAACGCCACCACCATTGCCCAGGAGGAGGCCAAGAAGGCAGACCAGGTGGCAGCGGTGGAGCGATCCGCGGCGGTCCTCCACGAACTCCAAGGGGGGGCCATTGACGGAGGAGGCGATGGGGGCCTACTCCTCAAGAATTTGGACTTGGACCTCTTCCGCGAAAAACTGCTGGATAAGCTGGGTGCGGACTGGGGGAGGCCCACACCGGAGCTCCTCCAGGCCCAGACCACTGCGGAGGAGGCGAAGGCAAAGCACCAGGCCAGACAAGCGAAGGGCGCCCTCGAGACCAGAATGCTCGAGCCCATCACGCCTCCCTTCAGTGCGTGGCCTAACGAGGTCCGAGTTGCCATTGAGACGGGGGTCTTTGAGCCGACCACGGCATGGAGGGACTTCAGCATGGACGACCTCACGTCCCTCACGGACTCTTACCTCGAAGCCAAGGCGGTCATCTCGCTGGGTAGGAACCCCTTTCCGGCGGCCCTCCTGGCAGATCTGCCGGATCTGACAGGGATCCCCATTCCAAAGGCGGGGGGTTCCGGTGTGGCGCGCCCAGGTGCCGAGGGCCCTGACAGGCAGCCCACCATCCCCCCAGCCTCGGGCTCTGGCGCGACGAGCTCAGGTGCCGAGGGCCCTGACAAGCCGTCCGCCACCCCAGTGGGCCTGGACACCCAGGACCCGGAGGTGCAGCTCGCGGTCCTGCGCTGGATGATGAGCAAACGGGTCGGAGAGGTCCGTATCTTTGCGGGCCGCTGGGTCCGACGACCGGGCCCGGTACACGTCCCGGATTGGGCCAACAACCTCACCAAGGTGAATCCAGAGGCGCTGGAGAAGGGTACGCATCCCAGGAACCACCAGGTGGGTGGACTCCCATGGGCCAGATACTCCGTTGATGAGTTGTACCAGCAGGCTAAGGCGGGGGACCGACCCTACCCTGAGGACCTGCGATCCATCTTCTGGGCGGCCCCCCATGATCCGGATGAGGACTTCCACTGGGCGCGCCAGATCTCGTCCTGGACACTCCCAGGCCTACTGGGGATGTTTGGTCACAGCTTCACCCTGCGCCAGCTCTGAAAAGTCTGGGAGTCCCTGCCACTGCTTCAGGGCCCTAGGCAGCGGGGGGCCCGAAGAACAAGGCCCAGAATCGACCCTGAAGGAAGACGCGCGGTGCTTCCTGAAGGAGGAGGGCCTTCCGTTTCCGCAGACAGGACCGGAGTGGCGATTGGTCTACCGGGCCATGGGCAAGGTCCTCGCGGCCCGGGCCTTCCTCACGGACACCCCGGCGGAGGTGATGCAGCTCCCGGTCCAGGACGTGGCGGACTCCAAGGAGCAGATGATCCTCCGGGCGGTATGCGATGAGCGCATATCTGTCCCGGTGGAGAGTCTCCAGCAGTTCCCAGAGGTGTACAAGGCCCTCATGGACCGCATTGGAGGCCCGGGGGCCCTGGCGGAGGTGAAGGTCAACTGGCGCTGCAACACGAAGCAGTGGTGGGTCGGCGCAGTCCCCGACTCAGTGGCCCCCTCCATCTACCGCAAGCTCGGCTACACCAACGACATGATCAAGCTGATGGGCCTTGACCCCTCCGCCCCTGGGTGCCGGACAGGTGCCGATGGCCCTGACATCCGCCCCAGGGGAGGAGAGGGCGATGAGGGGATCGTTTACCCCCCCATCACATCGGACAACGTCCACGGCGTGGTGGGCAAGGACTACCGGAAGAAGAACTATCCGGCGGAGACGAAGCATGTCTTCTGGGCGCACATGGAGTGTGGCCTGGTCCTGAGCTCCGTCACCCCGTGGGAACTCATCCCGAAGACAAAAGGGGAGACCCGGGGGGCAAGGGGTACTGGCGCGCCGGGGGAGGGGGCACCCGCCTCCTCCAGATCCGGGCCGGCAAGGCCATCCTTCAGCTGGTGCTGGACGAGCCGCCGGATGGCCTGTACAACCGCTGGGTCAAGGAGCGGTTGGAGTACTACCGCCGGGTAGAGCCCTCTGCCCCGCTGCGGGATGTCTCCGTGGTGGACCAGAAAGTCCCCCGGTTTAGGTTCAGCCACACCACCCAGACCGGCCATGTTTCAAACGCCATCTGGGAGCTGATTCTCCGGAATCCGGAGGCGGCGGCGCTCAAGCGCATTGACGACATGGCAAAGGGGGCCGTATGACCATCCAGCACTGCGGCCATCCGGAACGGATGCGCAGCGCACCCCGGGGGGGGACAGCTGCCGAGGGCGCTGACATCCCCCCCCTGGGCACAGCACAGGCCTAGACCTGTACCAGGCGAGGAAAATTGGCGCGGCTTGGGCTGATCCGGGGTGCGCCTTGGCTCCCCTCCCTTGTTTGGTTTTTCCCTTTCCGGGGCGGCTCCCTGGGTCCCCCCCTTTCTTTCCCCGTTTCCCCCGTTTCGGGGTTGGCTTTCCGGGGTTTTGGGGGCTCCCCTGTTGTTTGGTTGGGGTTTGCACCTTGGGACTAGGCTCCTGGCTCGAGTGGATCATGATGATGTGGAGGCCCCGCCTCCCTTCCCCGTTTGGGACGACCTTCCTAGGGGTACCAACCGCTATCCAGTTGATTTTGCATGACCTTGGATTTGCGCCAGTGCAGTCGGACGGGGAAATCCTCGTGGCGTGCTGCCTGGAATG